GAGGGGGAGGGGGGAGGGATATCGAACCCCAGGCGTCTGGTCGATTTTCTGGAGCGAGAGAATGAGAAAGGGATTGAGATACTATTTCAGGGATCTGTGAAAAGACTTGGGATAATGGAGTTCGAGTTCATGGAGTTGTGTTGTCTCAACGATGATGGGGTGACGTCTGGTGGGGTCCCGACGGGCATACAGATGTATTTCCGATCTATTTCGAACGGCGTCGGTATTCATTGAAGGGGTGGAGATTACGCACATATGGACCGTTCGGTTGGTCGGGAATGGAGAAGAAATGGGAAACGATTTTTCGGTGGTTTACTTCCCTTGATGGACTCATTTTAACCACTCGATATCTCATTCGGCTTTTTTGGATTTTCATTATTACCCGTTTGTCTGTTCTTTGTTCGTTTCACTTAGATAAAAAAAAAGGGTTGACTGAACGCGTACGATCTTGATTGAAATTTGCAACGATCAAATGCTGGATCAATACCTTTTCGTTTATTTCATGTTGTTATTTCGGATTGTCAAATTGTAATGGAAATTTTCTCTGATGTTTGAGAAATAAAATGTGTCCGAGGCATCTCATTTTATTGTGCTTCTTTTTTTTTAGCACGAGTGTTTCATAAAACAAAGGTATCTTATATCACTTTTTGCCACCTACCCACTGTCGTGTCTCAGGGGCATTATCGTAACGAAGTGAATGTAATGTTCTTGAGGGGGTTGATGGTGTCCTTTTCTCTTTTCTCAATGTTCTCGGTATTTTTTAAACCACTCTCGTCGACATACAGTTTCATATTCTATTTTATAAGAGACATCAAGCCACCAGAGCACTCCGCGAGTGCCGCCTAGAGGTACCCTTCCCTCTGGACCACCCGGCATATCCTCTTACTTCACAGTCGATACACTCACACCTCCATTTTCTCTTCAGTCTCTTCACCCTCTCTCATTCAATTTTATTCTACCATTTTTTTGCCATCGCCTTATGCTCATCGCTTGTTCAAGTTGAATATACGGTGGATTGGTGGGTGGGTTGAAAAGCCGAGGGTAGTCATCGTCAGGAGTACCCGGAGACCTCTAAAGTGCTTCTGGTTCACCACTTGCCAATTCTTTTTTGATGCCGCTTCTTTTCGATAACCTTTTGGGAGTCTTACCGACAACGTCCGCTCCTCACACACGGGTTATGGATACTATTTCATACCGTATTACGTATTGATTTCAATTTTT